GGCAATTGGTTGATGAAACATTGCTTAAAGGTGCCATTTGTAATAATTGAGGTAACAATATACGAAAAATGAGCTACACGCATCAAAAGAATGAGAAGAAATAAGTGCAAAGATGTCATTAAAAAACTGACAAGTTATAGTGCTGCCGAGATATTAACCTGAATTTGCATGCTAAATTACTAGCCCCGGCCCGGCAGGTATCGTAATACCAGTTCCGGCCATGGGAGGCGGTATGCGGACGGGCAACGTTAGCACCAGCCAAACTGCAATAGACGAGTGAGTCGCGCTCGCGCCGGCTTGTGTGTACTTGAACCTGATGTCAGTCGTGTGGAAATACAGCCAATTACTACATTTCAGTTCAGGGAAGAGTTCAAAAAATGATTGGTCGACATTATGCATGAGGAATACATTTTGGTAAGTTGTAGCATACTGTATCTTTCACCAGTGTTCGTGTTCTTTTTCCAGCTAGTAGAGACGATCGGTTCACGTGCGCTAGGGATCTGTAGTGTAACATGTACAAGCGCCAAAACGGTATTTATTCTTTGAATTGCGTAATATAATTGACAGAATCTGAGAGCTTAACTAACCTGCTTGCTAAGTGTCAATTGCGTGTGTCTCACGGTGAATTCACGGCGCTAGCTTGATCAACATCAGCGAATGCTGTCTGTCAAATTAATTCACTAACAATAAAAGTGTAATATGAACAAAACGAATACCATAAACTTCAAATAATTGCCCAAGCTTTTATTTTCCCATACCGTCGAAATGCACCAGCTTGTTTTTGAGATCTATGAGGCGGTCTTCATCATTTAGTGTTGAGATTCATAGTGTTTAGTTTAGTTCACTCTAGTGTTTAGTTCATTGAGTCTCTGATCTCTAAAAATCTCCAAATGTTCCACGTGAAACTGCGGTCTTCCAACCTTTTACTATCATGTCAAATGATTTGAATAACATGCGCGATGGTAGGAGCACAAGTCATTTTTTGGAGGTATACTGCCCCCATCTGTTATGGAATATGGAGTAGGATTTGATTTATGATGTTAGATGGCACCTTTAAAATTAAGATACAATTAAAGGTGCAATGTGCAAAGATTTTGAGTATCTATTAACACAAATGCAATATGACATCCATAACTATGTTTTCATCTTGGAAGCATTTTAAGTCAATCGCAAAGTTTTCAAAATCAGAGAAAAAAACCCTATCGTGTGTAGTAAATGGTGTTTAGGGGAGGCGTGCACACTGTTACAATCACATCATTTTTGTCGTGCGCACCTTTGGGCTCATGCGGAGGCGGAGTTTAAACAATGCTTTACGTTTTAACCAGCTCAGGCACAGTAACAGCTCATATTTAGCCATCTTAGCCAAACTTTTACTACCCTGTTGGAAAAAAATATATAGTTTTATGTGGTTCTTCTCCCTCGCTGTATTATGGGTTTGCTATGTGGGGAGAAATGTGCTGGTTACCTTTGTGAGACAATCAACTGATTACTACTATTATATTATATATTAAGACCCTTGATCCTCGCCTGACTATGGCTTTGTAAACTTTATCCATGATGAGGTTTATAATGGACTGAGTTACAGAAACAGTGACAATATGTTACACACTCTTGGCTTACTCTGGCTATTTTCTGCTGTATCAGACAACAATATGTTTGTCCAGTTCTAGCCACCATAGCTTCTTTGAAAGGGAGGGGTGAGCCCTTATTGCAACTCTCAACCGGACCACTAGAGGTCGCTAAAAAATACAAACTGCACCTTTAATACAAAACGAAATTCACTTTATAGAAAGGTTTAGTGCTCTCTGTTCTGTGAACGTTTTACTCTGTGTGATGTGATTAAATGTCACGTCTTTCAGTGGTGCTTTCAGACTGGTCACATCCGTAACACTGTTTTTTCCTCATAAATGCGAATAACACAGTCTCATCCCAAGACATCATATAACTGACATCTTTGGACGCCTTTTGACCATACGTCAACATCCGCCATTTTGCAGTACCCTTTAACGTCAGTTACATGACGATCCTGGGACGTCATACAACTGACGCTTTACCTTTAACGTCAGTTAGGTGACGGGGTAGGTTAAGGTCTGGGGTAGGGTTAGGATCCGATAACGTCATCTAACCGACGTTAAAGGGTACCCTAAAATGGCGGATGTTGACGTATGGTCAAAAGACGTCCCAAGACGTCAGATATATGACGTCTTGGGATGAGACTGCGCTGATGCGAACACGAAACATATGAAATGAATATTTTATGTTCTGTGGAGACTACTGTTACTTATAATTAGTATTCTGAATAAGTAACGCCAGCACATGTATTCCGTTACTCCCCAACACTGATATTAGTTGCCTATATAACCTTATCTGCAAGATATTTTAACAACGCGGTTTTGGCGGTTATAGAGTTCTAATGACGGTGTTCAACTATAACGTCACACCACTAGGATAGACACTGAGCTTTGGATGTGCTTCTCATGGATTTATAGCCTCTGAAACACCCTTTTCAGTCTCATAAATGAGAAGAACAATGTGTGTGCGTGTGTCCTGGTGAATGGGGAGATAACAGTGAAGGTGGCCTGATGCTGTCAGCTGTTTCTTATCTTATCTACCAGAGGATGTTAGTATGAAAATGACATTAGCAGCAACACTTGCTCAGGAGCTCCGCCATAGCACCATTGGTTGTTTATGCCTGTATGTCTTTGGGGCATAGAAAACACTAAATCCATCCGTGATCAAAATTGTTCCCGGACGAGGACTAGAAAGGTACATGCGCTGTATATCGATCATACACACACACTGTAGCATTACAGGGCTTTATTTTTAACTGAGTGCCATTGATAAGCAATTTATGGTTCTTGTTTTCTTTAAAAATCAACACGGTAACTTGCATACATGCACAGACTGAGAAAATGTGCACCATCCCCATGTGACCTGTTACAAATCCAGTCACCTGCACGGATTACAAGAAGTGCCTTGAAAAAAATTACCTTTTCTCTTTTCAACAGTCAATTTTTAACCTTCACTGCAACCGAGCTTATAGCAAATCCCAGGTGCTACAAGCAGTCTGGAAAAAAAGCCTTTTCACCCTATATGTTCAACACCAAGGTCATTGACAACATCTGAAATGGAAGAGTGAAGGGACCCTTTTGGAGTGGCACTGGGCAGATCATTTTACAAGAAAAGCTGGGGGATTAAATGAGCGGAGGAAAAAAAAAAAGCACCTTTTTGCACTAGAACTGCAGTTTAAGTCAAGCGGTTCGCAGCCTATTTTCCAGTGAGTCATATGCCAGCAGGACCTTCAGCTCTATATCCAGGGTCAATATCACTAAAAATATGCATTCGATACACTCGATTGCTTTTCAGCTAGTGTTATGAGGCTTTTGGCATGGGCGGACTGGTATGCGTTTATTCGTTCAGATATTTTTAGCGTCACGTGGGAGTTTAGTGTTTAGATATAGGCCTACGCATATATTTGTATGGGTGACTTAGTTATGTTTGCTAGACTCAGAACTGTTGCTAACATGGCACTAGGCTAAGACTTCTCACCGAAAAGAGTGAGCCCACAATGATGTTTTAATCCCCATAACCAGGCTTAGTCACAGCAGCTCTTCCTCAAGCGCCTGCCAATTTACACTTCCTCATTATCCATTACTCTAGCCCATCACCCCACCCCACCCCCATTTATTTATCTTAGTCGCCACTGGAATATTCTGTCTGCACTCGGCGGTTAGTTTGGGACGCCTGTACAGATTGTTTGAGGTTAATTTGTGCGCCGGCATCAAAGGAGAAGACAGCTAAAGGATCTCTTCTCAATGCAACAAACAGCCACCTTTACACTTAACAACCAAGTCAACAGAAGAATTTCATCGCCAGGGAGGGCCTTTGAGCGACTGACAAAAAATGATACATTTATGTACATAAATAAGGTTGCAACCTCTCTTGAAGATACTCTGATTGCACAGAGATGATATACAGCTACATATGTACAGCTGAGGATCAATTGTGTAAACAAAAAGTCGCTTTGAAATTCGTCAAGAGCCGTGGTCTTGTGTTTATGAAGAACATTCATTTGAAGTTCCAATAATTCTATAATTAATCATGATCGTTACATTTATGCAAAGCATCAAACAGCAGATGTCAACATGGACTAGTGGTTTCCCTGCTGAAATTGACTATATATGTTTTTTGGGCATTTAGCAGTTGCTCACATTGGAAAACCAGTGTGACAAACTAATGGGTCTAGCCACTAAATCATGTCTGCCTAAAAGTAATACATAAACATAATAAAATAAATTAAAGTTCGGGCTTTCAAATGGATACTTCCTGGGGTTCTAGACAGACTCAAATCTACAGGCTGTGAGGCCAGATAGACCAGCTTAAACCAGCTAACCAGACTTGCTTAGATATTTTTTTAATATCAGTAGAGATGCAAAAATAAACACGTGCATCAGAAATAAGGAGATTCACTGGGCATTAGTAGCATTATCTGCAAGGTGTCAAATTAAGTACACTCAGTAGTACCAGATAAACCAAAGGCCACTTCTGAGAAGTGGGCTATGAAATAATAGAGCTGCTTTGCTGCATCACATTTATTCCAGACAAAAAAGGCCTGTCTTCGTCAGGATGGCCCTAAAACCCTGCTGAGTCAAAGGATCGAAAACGAGAAGGCCATAGGCTCGTTTGTAGCTCCCACGGATTTTAAAAGCATCACGGATGGCAGTGTTATCTATAAAGCTACAAGCATGTGGGGCTTCAGCAGGGGGGGGCGAATTAGGCAATATGTGTGTCTTTGTACATCAAGATGTATGCTGTTTGAGTATGTGAATGTGTATTTAAGTGTAAAGTGCCACAGTAAAGTTTTTCAGCATTGGGGTGTAGCGAGAGGCAGGGATGGGTGCGCATTGATGTTTGCGAGTTTGCCGGTCAGCAGGGAGGCCATTACCAGACAGCAGCAGGAGAGAGAAGCACCATACAGAGCTTAACAAGATGGAACTTACCAGGGAATTGGTAGCTGTAGCTTGGGGCGAAACCAGTGTATCCGCGGCCATACGTTGCTACAATGTTTGGATAACCTGTAGGGAGAGAAGAAAATCCAAGGATGTGATAAACCGCTCAGACCGCCCAGAGCTTCCCTATCACACCAATAAATCAGTATGCCATTTAAAATACACATACACACACAAGAAGCAAGTGAAAACAGCTTCTCTTTCACCACATAACCGCAGCCCTCCCCGCAAGGCCGCAATGTAACAGATTAGCTGGCTCGCAAACTTCAGTTTGCGGTGATGAACAGCATAAACATCACAAGACACAATCTCGCTTCATTCCCTGGGGCTCATCCCTCTTTTTCCCCTTGCTGAGGGAACGGACATGTCTGCGGCTGTCATCTCTCTCTCCCTCCTTTTTTTTTTCTCACCTCTCCACTGTCATTGATCGATAGCCCTTCTTTTATAGCCCGGGCTAATCGATCATGAAGGACACGACAGCGCAAGACAATGGCAGGCTGATAGTTGTGGCAGGACATCACGGATTAAAGTCCCTACGTGCCGTGCAGCCTCAGCCTCCTGCGCGCTAATACTAACAGGATGGCACGAATATGATTGAGCGATTGCAGAACTCATTCGAAAGTGGAGCGAAGCGCTGCAAAAGCATGCTAAGGCCGCCATTTGTTTTTTTAGCCCACCTCTTGTCGTCTTTGCTGAGGCAGAACTTTTTAATGACGACGCTCGCGCGAGTGAGTTGGCTTCCCCTTGACTATTATATTATCTGAAATACATCTTGTTTGAGACCGAGGCGAAAACACACCATCAGCAGCGTTTACAACACTGGAACGCATCCTGCTCGTGCTGTTAAGAAAAAGTGGGATGCAACCCAATGCACATGCTACAGTTGTCTCGCTGCCAGGATTTAACGGCGGTCCGCCGTGTGTACCTATTTACCAGGCTAGAGCCCAAAGACCCATTGTTCTTATTCTGTCACAATGGCTTATTACAGTGTGAGCCTAGACACTAATTATCTGGCCGGCTTTCAAACAGAAGGAAAAAAACGCAACGTTTCCAATGCAAATCGAACATATCGGCCATATTGTTGCACCGAACGCCTGAGGGAGCAGGCGGCTATAATCGCGTGAAAACAATATAGACTCTATAGTGGCGTCACCTTCTACAGGACTCTAGTTTGTTATTTGTCATCAGCCCATTTTTCTTCCCTCCCAAACCCACCTGAAAGATCTTGCTAATAGTTATTGGCTGCACACAGAGCTAGCTTGCACCAAATGATCGCTAGTGGCTTATCTTTGGCTCTCGGCCACAAATGTGAGTTGGTGAAGAGAATAAATACACTCCACCGCAAGTTAGGCTAGACATAACACAAATCAATTGAGTTTGACATTGCAGAGGCAGACTGGTGGGAAGTAGTCTATGTGAAGCTATTGATCCTGTCAAAGTTTCTTTGGTGAGGGTCAGCGCTATAGTAGAGGCTTAAAAGAAATAACTTGTTTTTATGAAGTTTTCTGTCGTTATTGACTGCTTCTGAAAGGAGGCTTTCTGTGCCGTTTGCGGTAAATGCTATGTAAACCACGGAGTCGGTTTTAAAATCAAAGACTATTCTTGAGGAAAGTTCATCTCTGAGGAAATCAGAGCAAGGAGGAGGAATGGATAAAAGTATTAAATACACTACTGCCAAAAGTATAGAGAAAATATTGCAGAAGCTATCTCCCTTAAAGGGACAGTTTTTTTTCATCCAAAAAAACTAAATTTGGTAATCATTTACTCAAATTCATGCCATTCCAAACCCATATGAAGATATTCTGAACAATGACTCAGTCAAAATGATTAAAAGAAGATTTTTTGAAGAATGTTTCAACAATTTTGTCCCAACAAAGAAAGTCAGTGAGGTCGAAAACAATACTGAAACCCACTGACAAGAACAGTATCTTCTTTTGTGTTCTGGAGAACAAAGTCATAAAGGTTTGAATGTCATTATGGTGAGTATATGATGACAGAATTGGCATTTTTGGGTGAAACGTTGAAACTGGCAATTTTTCAAGAAATGCCAGTCCCCATCTCTGCTCTGCTTCACCAATCTTGCCTCTGAAATACATGCTTGTATGTTCTGCAGCAAGTTGGCCATCTTTAACTTTGCTCCTCCCAAGTGCTGTATCATATGTTTACAAAGCCTTAATATCTGAGCTCCTCCATCTCTCCCAAGACTACATTGGCTCTGTGTACTCTACTCTTACAGAGGAGCAAATGCCAGACGCCCATACTAAATATACATGACATGGGCTTTTCCTGTGACATTTAAAGAGATTACTTTAAATGTAGAGGGATGGGGTTCTGTTGACAGTAGGGGATTAACATACTGGTAGGGCCAACACCTATGGGAACACAACACAGAAGAGAGAAATCAGCAGTGCTTCCAGGCCGTATGCAGAAAAGAGACTCAGGTGCAAATGATACATAAAAAAAAAATAAAAGACTTGAGACTTGACTATTAATATTTTGCTGATTATCCCTAGTTTTTGATTATAGAAGCCATTCTCCTTGACTCACTGAAATTTGTGCACGTGACATGCTTAAAGGAGTAGTTCACTTTAAAAAAAAAACTTTTGCTGATAATTTACTCACCCCCATGTCATCCAAGATGTCCATGTCTTTCTTTCTTCAGTCGAAAAGAAATTAAGGTTTTTGATGAAAACATTCCAGGATTTTTCTCCATATAATGCACTTTTACTGGTAACCAAACTTCAGTGCAAACTGCAAACTGTTCAAAGGATTTTAAATGATTCCAGACGATGAATAAGGGTCTTATCAAGAGAAACGATCACTCATTTAAAAAAAAAAAAACAACAACAAAATTTAAATTTTATAAGCTCAAATGGTCGCCTTGCTCTGTTAGTCAATTCGTTAATTGAATGAACCAAATGACACGAAAAAAAAGATTTGTTCATTTTGATAAACAAGTTTGAACAGGAGAGTCACAAACGCGCATCACAGAACAGAGCAAGATGACCATTTGAGCTTATAAAACTTTTTTTTTTTTAAATGAGCGATCATTTCGCTTGATAAGACCCTTATTCATCATCTGGAATCATTTAAAGCCCTGTGAACAGTTTGCAGTTTGCACTGAAACTCTCTTTTGGACCTTGGACTGTTTGGTGCCCAGTAAAGTGCATTTAGTTGGAGAAAAATCCTGGAATGTTTTCATCAAAAATCTTAATTTCTTTTTGACTGAAGAAAGAAGGACATGGATATCTTGGATGACATGGGGGTGAGTAAATTATCATCAAAAGTTTTTTTTTTTTTTTAAAGTGAACTAATCCTTTAACTTCTTTCCAATCCTCCTCAAGTTTTCCCCAAATTGAGCTTCATTCGAAAACCTCCATGGCTTATCACAATTCAATTTTATAATTTCCCAAAGGTTTTCAATGGATTTAAGGTCAGGTGACTGAGGAGGTCAATTGATGGCCTGAAAATACTGAGCATGAACACTTTTATTGCATGCACCTTTGTTGCATTTGTGGTTTGTTTGGGATTGTTACCATGATGAAAAAAGCATGTTGTTCATTGAGTGTAGGCCTACAGTCTCTAATCTCTAAAAATCTCAAATGCTTCACGTGAAACTGCAGCCTTCGTGAAGACAGCACTCGTGTTGTTTGAAGACGTGAGAGTGCGTGCGAGGCCGGGGCACAAATAAATAAATAAAGCAGTCATTATATTCTACATAACTCATTGGCGGGACAAAAAGTAGACAATCTGAAGGATTTTAGAAGATTAAATACAACCCGAAAGTAAAAAAAAAAGACCTGGCCTTTATTTATTTAAACCTGCAGCCACACTAGGCGTGTAAAAGAGACAGGTGTCTATTCCGGACTTGGCTATTATTTGAAGTTTTACAGTATGTTTCCCATGTCGTGCTTAACGGTGCTATGCACATTTGGCATTACAACACTCCAGTCTTCTCCTACGAACTGACACCATCCAATGCTACTGTAGGTTATTACATTTTGACTTTACGCCACTTATCTTCCTTACTCACGTTCTTTGGCAAATGCAAGAATTATTTTGCAGTTGATAAAACTAATAAATGGTTTCTTTACACAACCTCTCAATCCAGTCTCTTAGCAATTGGCTTACAGTTCAAAATGAAATTGAGGGTCCCTTAAAATAGCATGCCAATTTTGCTTACAAAGGTTGCATTTATTTGCACAAAAATACAGTGAAATTATGTATCATATAAGTTTAATATATTTTAAAATGTAATCCAAGCAAATAAGTGTGAAAATAGCCATAAAGCAAATAGCCACATCTGCAACTTCAATCAAGAATAATGGTCTGGCTGTGAAGAGTGAACAGTCTATGCACACAAAAGCTCACAATAATGCTTTATTTGGAAGAATACTAGGAAAACAAACTTTGAACAACAACAACAAAAAAAATATATTTTATGCCACTTTTGGCTCAGCTAAACAAAAAATAAAATAGAAAGGTACCAATTTTTCCCAGACACATTCATCCACCTCGTTGTCAAAACTATTTGGCTCAATTTTCATACCTAATTGGCTCTCCACTAGGTTTAATAGCTGAGCCTCAGTGTCGAGCTGTGGGCTCAAGAAAGGGGCACACCATGAGACGAGAATCACCAAACCGCCATACCTTTGACGTTCAGTAAGTGGCAACACTGCATGTCGCAGTCACTAAATGCAAGGAGGAGACCTGAGCCCGGGGAGAAGACTCATTAAGCCACGCCGTCACCACGGTAGACACCTTCCGTCTCCAGGCAACGCTGTAAATAAAGACTGTCACTTAATCTGGCCTAGTGCCGTTGGCCTCGCCCTCTTATTTGCGTTATTAATATGCATGCTAATGTGCCCATTTTATGGCTCAACAGTTTCGATTCACTGTAAAATCAATTATCCATCTGGTAAAGCTGCACTTTGCGCTGGCTGAGATGTGTATTAATTTTAGCAAACATACATGAGGCCCAGCACAATAAAGATAAATAGCTCGATTAGGTGTGGTAAACACCGTTGCTCAGAGCGGGGCTCTAATGAGATTTCGGCACATAAGGAATTGAGGTTCCTTAAATAATGAGCCTTGTTGATTTTTCTATGCAAATTACCAAAAGGAATGTTTCGCTGTCCTGCTTTCCAATTTCATTTAGATAAGACGGTGTTGCGATCGAGTGAGCGCGACCCCCTTTAACCGGCTCTCTGCTCCCACTGTCTCAGTCTTCCTCCCTTTCGGTTTGTTCAACACTGATCTGCTTTAAACCCTAATAAGCTCATGACACCCACTTGCGGCGTAATTTCATCAACCTCAACTCAAGTCAACTTGAGCTGACATCACGCTGTTGGCGCCGTGAAGCCGAATGATATCATGGACTACTAAAATGCCTGGGGGCACCAGATGTTGGTGAAAAGGTCTTGACGAGCTCTTGCATATTCCGAATAACTGATGAATTCACCCTCCTTTTAGGTCAGATGGTTGAAATCATAGGATCATAACTCAACATTACTTACATTTTCCTCTTCATTTAGCACTATAATGCAGAGCCCTGCTCTGGTGAGGGTCGGTTAGGGATTTGGTGGAGCTGGAAGCGGGTCTGGCTGAATATCAATAGCATATTTCATGCGGGCCCAGCGAGGACGCTTCATCAAGTCAAATTACGGGCAGGACGACCTCTCCCGCAGCTTCACCCATTAGCTGCCATTCGCATTCTGCACTAGGCATCAAACGATTTATTTGCTTCAGTTACTTTCAGCAGACGATCAATCTCACAGTAATTATCTCTTGTCACTGGAGCTGGTTGGGGGGGGGGGGCTGAAGTTTGAGATGGGGGGTGGGTATTCTTGTCTAATTCTACATTTCCTGTCCTCTTGACACACATCAAATCTACAGAAAAACGTCAAGACGAGCTCTTGCCAGCGTCGGGATGACGCCTCTGGTGTTTGACGGGTTCCAGTGCTCGTCTCTCTGATAGCACGCGCGTGTCGTATCCGTGTAGACTCTGAAGCGGGGCTCCCAGTAGAAACAGAGAGGAGTTTCAACTGCCATGGCAGTTGTAGAGCCGCTAGCAGAGCGTGGCGACGTTAACGCGAGCACCGTGCCAACATCGGAGCTCCGGTCCCAGTGCTCTCTTCGAGGAGCTCTTTCAATGGGCTGTTGCCTCTCCCTGTCTGCCTGTTCCAACATTATGAGTTGCCATTTTGCTCTATGAGTTTACAGTGATGCACTTGTTCCACACCATCAAGCTCAGCATCTATGCTTAAAGGCTGAACAGACATATTTACAAGTATCATTCTGAAGTGACCATTTGTCTCTGAGGTCAGCATGAGAAAACATTTGCTCTAAAATCACACCCAGTGGATAACTAGATCGAGATTCACATGAACATGAACTCGTTAATAAATGTATTTTCACCAATCACATATACATTCATATTAATGTAGAACCAATTCAGGCATGTACAAAAAGGAGTGCTTTTACACAAATATTTAAAAACTAATAGTAATTTAATGTATAATATCCATATATATTTATATTTGAATATTATATGTTAGCACAGCTCTAATGACTTTATCAGTAAAATGGTACACTTAAAAGCTACATGAATTTCTCTCTAGCAAGGTAATAACAGCCCTGTTGTTCTTCTTTGCTATTAGTAGAGATGCTGCTAAGAGACACACAGACTCAGGTAATTCACATACGCTTAGTCAATCTCTCTCTCTCTCTCTGTCTCACTCTCTCTAAAACTGCATTAATAACTGTATTATTTCTACTATCTGTGGCTCAAGTCTCCCTTTACCAGCTCTAAAATTTTAGTATTAAAATAATAGCTTCCAAAACGTTTTGGAATTAGTAACAGAGGCTTGGGATGAGATGCGTAAGAAATTCAACAGCCAGACATCAATTATTCTTTATACATACACACATACTGTATATACATATGAAGAGTTCAGATGCAAAAGTGCCATTTGAAATTTTCTTCTTGAATGATAATTTTTTATCAAGCTTGTATATTTAAGTTCAGTAATTTCACTTAAATGGCAATGAAGTTAACCTATTAATTGTCATTTAAGTGAAATTACTGAACTCTTCAAATATACATACACACACACATATATATATATATATATATATATACTGTATATATATATATATATACACACACACACAACATGAAATAAAGTTTGACCCCCTATATACTTTTGTAATAGACGTTCCTGGTTGTTTTTGCATGATTCAGTAGTGAGCATTATTCAAAGAAAAAAAGTTTGTCTTTTTATAAAAACGTAGTAACTTCTTATCCTCTAGTATCCTCCAATCAAATTCCGATGGATGAAATAAAATAGTAATGCTTTCTAGCTGCTTATCCACTTTCTCTTAGGAACACATCAAATTAAAGAAGTAAAACGTTCTAAATGCAGTTTCATGCTGATTTCAAATCAGCATCCCAGTTAATAATCAGATTACAGCAGTGATTGACAGTGTTAATGTATGAATAATTGTAAGCAGGAAATTGAGATGACACTTACTCAGCATGCCCATTCCCAGCATAAAGGCGTCCATGGTGTAGGGCAGACCTCTAGCTCTCCCCCGCGTCCCTGGAGGAAACATCACTTCCTTCGGCTGGGCCTTCTTACATTCTACCTGTGGATGGAGCACAAAAGATGCTGTCTCAGTGGTCTAGCTACTAATAAGACCATTTATTGTATCAAGGAACAGTCCAACTCTTACAAATGTTCAGCCAACAATGTTGTCCATATTTGGTTTGTGTCACCTTGCAGACAAACTATGAGAGCTCTCATAAGGTTAATACATCACTTGTTAGAAAAATGAATAAATAAAACAAACACTCTGTGGAATCAGTGTTTATGTGTCTCAGTTGGTAATGTACAGGCTTAAATGTTGCTGTGGTTTTTTGAGAGAGTGTTTTTTGATGTTTGTGTGTTTGCGAAAGCATGCAGTGTTCTGTCTTCAGGCAAAAAAGAAAAAAAAGATGAGTTTTCTATATAAAAAAAAAGTTGTATTTTTTTATTTCCTCATCAATTCCCTAGCGTCTTGCCACTCCAATCTGGTCCTCATCATTGAACAGTTTCTACCCGGGGCACTTCCCCTGATCACCACCCAGCACCCCCAACCAGCTCCCTGATGCCTTCTACTGATCATTTTCCTGCTGTGCTGACTGACATTTCGCACTCCTCCACAATGCACGGTTAAGAGTCTGCTCATGACAGAACACACAGAGTGGGCGTCAAGAGTGACAGACCAACTGCAAACACCAGCATCAAAATTAAGTACAGCTCTGGAATGAAGGATCCGTGGGTTTGTGGTAGTGACACGGTAAGAAATACCAACCCTAACATTGTGCACAAGATGCGTCAACAAAACCTCAACCACCTGAGAGACGCAACCATGCTTTCTTTAAGCCCAAGGAAAGCACAGATGACCGGGAGGGTATGTAGTGTTTGACAGACTGATTACTGGTGTATGTATACACACTCCTCCATGCACACAGCGCCTAGGGTAAGTATAGTGGTGGATGCACACGAAAGGCTTATTGAAATTGACTATGAGCACTACGAGGGGCTCTGGTAGGGCAGAGTAGACAATATTCCCTGACCGTGTCAACCTCTATTTGTCCATTTATATTACAGCTGCTTCCCTGCTCTTCTCAGGAGCCTCAGTTCAAGTGACTAAAAGCAAACATTCATGATTTAAGTATGAGATTTAAACTGCGTGTCTATGAATGTCAGGGAAGAGAATGACACAGGGGTTTTCAAACTGACGACCCCAAAGGGACCGCATACACTTTCGTAACTTAAAAGCCAATCGAAAATGTTGAAATAAGTAGTAAAACTACTAAAAATAAAAAAACTGAAATAAACAAAAAGTACTAAAAATGACAAAAGCACAACAAAAATATTTAAAATAACGGTAGCGCTTCCTTTTACAGTACAGAACTTACGAGTACTTACCTAGAAAGTACTGGCTAATATAAGGTAAGTACATGGGTTATGGCTAGGTTTCGGCGTAGGTTCAGGGTTAGTACCTAGTTATTACCCAGTTACCCTGTAATTACTATAATACAATTACTATAAGTACATAGTATGCACTGTACATGGGTAACAGGACTGTAAAAGGAAGCGTTACCAAAATAAAATTACAATTGAAAATAAAAAGCTAATAAAAGCTAAAAATGTAAATAATAATATTAATATTAATAAAAAAGCTCATTTAAATATTAATAGTTGCTATAATCTCATGTAAATAATACTGAACCTACAAGGTATCTCTCAGAGCAGCGCAGTCTCATCCCAATACGTCGTACAACTGACGCTTTTGACCATACGTTAACATCCGCCGTTTTAGGGGAACCCTTAAACGTCGGTTAGATGACGTTATCTAATCCTAACACTACCCCAGACCTAAACCTACCCCGTCACCTAACTGACGTTAAAGGTAAAGTGTCAGTTACGCTGCCTTCACACTGGCAGTTTAAATCAGCTCCGTAATACGCAATACGTTCCCAACGGACATCGTACTACACAGTGAAAAGCGTCGGACGCGGGTAGAACAAAAATGGCGGAGAGATTAAAGTTTGATTCTGTCAATTCTGTATGATCTCTCTGATGAGAGTTATGCTGCGTGAGGAAAGTTGCTCAGGACGTTGACATGTCAGGTCGAATAAAAATGTGATATAGTGGTCAATAGTTCAATGTCTACCTTCAATTTAATTGTATTAACTGCCCTTATAAACGTTAGAAAGTCATGAAAATATAAAATGACATGACAACGTATCATTATAAAATCATTATTTATTTTATTAAAAGTTAATAATTCAGGTTTGTTTATCAGTACCATAGCAACGCTCAACTTCCGCTGGAATTGTCGGATAGGAACCGTCCGTAGTTTTTCGCACGAGTTCAAATTTTTGAACGCCTCCGGATGACCAACGGACACGATTTTCTTCGCACCGCACTCGGTCGGACCCGTTTCGGACCCATTCGCATGCGGTCTGCGAATCTCCATAGGGAATGAATGACTTCCGGTCGTTTCGCAGCCGCATCGGAGCTGATTTCAACTGCCAGTGTGAAGGCGGCGTTAGATGACGCCCCATGATCGTCATCTACTGTAACTGACGTTAAATGGATCCGTAAGCATGTAAATATAAAGCAGCCTTTATACTTTTAAAGACTCCCCCTTGAAATCAAATGTGGGGCTCCTTGACATCAAAAAGTACATTGTATGACAGTACATTGACCTTGATGTTAACTGCGAGGGAAAATAACCTTGAATTTCATCACCGAAAGATAAAGGAAATCCAGATATCTGTTAAAGATAATGCTTCCATTCTTTTAAATGACCTTACATGTCAACAAAAGCGCTAAAAGGAAGCTGTATTTTCACGCTTTGAGCGGGCTAACAAACTTCAGACACTGCAACGCAATGTCTCTTTTCGGAAAAAAAAAAAAATGAACAGATAAAAACCAACAAGCACTGGTAATCAGTATTCAAGTCCTCAGGACTTCTCCAAATACAACATGCCTTCATTAGGCACTGGCACTAAAGAGAGAGCGAGTGTGTGTGAGTGTGGTGCGTGTAATTATGTCAGTGTGTGGTTTCAGTGATGAGGCCTGCAATCTCTGTGTGTTGCTAATAGGCGAGGAAAGCCTGGCTTCCGATCTGACTGTCATCAATGGGCATTTAAGAGCCATGACTACGGCTCCACATTATTACTTAACTAATTACCCTCGTCAGTCGAGGTAGGCCAACGATGAGCTCCCTTCTATCGTTAATGAAACTACGAAGGCCCGTGGCTAATGACCTGAGAGCACGGGGTAGCTATGTTATCACTCCTGCACAGAGGAGGAAAAGGCCAGAGGAGGACAGAACTGTTGATAGATGGACGTCTGCACTTCAGGACCAAATCGGAGCATTGACTTTGAAAAAAGTTGAACTCGCTACATAATGCAGTCTTATTTGTGTGTGATATTTAGACTTGATGAACTTAATAAAATGTGACAGGAAATCAACAAGGTCAAAGTTGGTGCTAATGTTGGGGAAAAGGTGTTTTAATCTGCCATTTCCTTCTTTCAACTCTCTTCTCGATAAAAAGTTCAAGAAATAAAACATTCAGATACATTTCATATTTATTTTAATAATTTATTTAAAAGGCCATAAAACATAAAATCACTTTGAAAAAGAATTATGATCTGATAAACACTTCATCACCTGCTGTTATATTGAGAATATTGCAAGTTGCAGGCGTAAAATAATAATAACGCTTGCATGTCTTAATTATATCATGTTTCAAATTATTTATATAATGACTTATTAATGAAGGCTAAGTGTTACTGAACATTTTATTTGTTCATTTAGTCTTGCCACCTGTCTAATGACCGGACCGCCACTCGGAGCCCAACAGAGACTTCAAGGTGTTTGTGCGTGTCTGTGTGTGTGAGTGTGTGTGAATGCAATCAAAACCCCATAACATCTCTCATCTACCGTTCACCCCAGAGAACAGGTTAAGTGGAAGTCCAGGGTGGAAAGGATGACAGCAGAGATGAGAACAGGGTGCGTTTACTCGCCTCGCTAATTGTCGGGAAATCATGAGCGGGAACACTGTACCGGTGGGCTGGAGCAAATGTGGCCATTAGTGTCGATGTCCCTGGCAGAGCCAGTGTGAGCGGGCGAGAGGTGCGAGACAGGATCGATCAGCTCCAGAGAACACACACGCGGCTTATTAGCTGGCTGGTTAGGGATAGATTAGATCCAATCTGCTAATCTGCTGCCCTGACCTTGTGACAAGAAATGTCACTCACATTAAAACTTCAGCCACCTGTTTTGACTTTGAAAAGGGGGTTGTTTCACAAAGGTGCATTTCTCAGAGACCACAGGCTGCATCTTTCATGACTGTAGATCAAAAGCATTGCACGCACATTTTGGCTTTTTGAGCAAAGCCAAATACATCTTTCAAAACAAAAATATACTTGCATTACTGGTTGTACTCTTATAGGGGGGAAAGTGTTAGGCTTGTCAAAAATGTATGAAGAACCATTTTTATTAAAGTTATTAGGCTTTATATTACATAATATACAAAAAAAAAACATATTTTAAAAAGTTTTAATTAGTGCTAAAATATTTAATCGCGATTAATCGCATTACTGTCATAGTTAACTCGCGATTAATCGCAATTAATCACACATTTTTATCTATTCTAAATGTCTCTTGATTTCTTTTTGTCCCATTACTTTTTCTCATTGTAATGCTCTTAACAATATGGAAAAGTGTATCGGCTTGCTTTGTGTAAATGTTTTTTATTGAAAACAACATTGACATATACTGTGTTCAAATTCACACTAGAATTCTTACTTGGAGCAAATAATCTCTGACACAATGTAACACTGTCCATCAATAAAAGGGTAAAAGAAATACTGACGAGGTCCTAATATTGACGAGGGGGCGGAGAATTCGCATCAGCTGTGTGCTTGTGTGTGTGCTTGGCCATCATCAAGCGGTATTTCAAACTGGACGTGCTGCGATGGTCATAGCTCAGTTCACAACGACAAAACACGCAGATCACTTTGGTCTTGTCAATGGAACCATTTGGCAACTTTTAAAAGTAAACTTTCCATTCAGAATCTTAT